GATTTCAGGTTTCCATCATTCATGAGGTCTGTAACTTGTTGATAATTAGAGAGGAGTTGGATACCAAGATCATAGGAGTTGAAATTTTGGGTCACTGTAGAGAGCTGCATGAAGCAAGAATTTCCGAAGCAACATGAAGTCTTTGAGATTCAGGTTTATGGTTTCAGATAACCTGAAAAAAAAAAATTCTTTTTAAATTTTTATGGTTAACTTTTTCTGATCAGGAAAAAGCTAAAAAATATTTTTAAGGTGATACTGTCATATTTTCTATGAAAATTTTACTACAATTATACTCAAATTTTGTTAAGTCTGAAAACATGAAAAGCTACTTGGTGCTGTAAATGGGAAAATATAGAAATGGGGTTTTCATTCATTGACAGTATTGAGGATGGACTAAGCAACAAGGAAAGAGAATTGTCACAATGTGCTTGGTATTTTGCATGGAAATTTTATGGCCTAATTCCTATTTGAAAAAAAAAAAAAAAAGGAATGCATATAATTACTCCAGATGAAGGAGGTGTTATTATTTGTAATTTACAGACTGGGAGAGCAAAGGTAGATATCACGTCCTTTAAAGTGACAAGAGGCACTGTGGGATCCTTGCTTAAGTGTCCTGAACACAGTACAAAGTGATTTGAACCGTTCACTGAAGATTTTACTGCTAAAATGAGCTCTTTTATTTTTCCTCTCCAAAAAATAATCTTGGAGCATGTAATTGGTGTAATTTCATTTTACAAAGAAAGACAAATCTAAATTGCTAAATTCACCTCCAGATTAGGTTTGTGAAGTTTTCTAGCATGTGGAAAATTTAGGAAGTCAAAGTGCTAATACTCTCACCCTCTTTTGCCTACTTCCTTCCACTTTCTGTCTGTAACACTTATTCAAAAGAATGTCAGTGTGAAGAAAATGGTATTAGATAATAACACAATAGGTTTAATAAACATCCTCACATTATGGAATGCTGAGTGAAAGCTGACATTTTGAGCTGGGTTGTGTCAGGAATCTGCTGTTTTCTGTTCTTGAACTGGTTTTTTTTCTTTATTTATTTGTAGGTTATTATTTTTCGTGGTACAAAACTTCTCAGGGCAGAATATCTCTGTATATAAGCTGAAGAGCAATTACTTTACACCACAGATTTCCAACAGATTGAAATAAAATGTACATGTGGAAAAGAGAAAAGATAGAAAAAAAAAAAAAAGGCACGTTTTACCTCCACTTACATGTAGCTCATGCAAACCTGAACTGCAGCTCCAGGGCACAACTCAAGATTTGATATTAAAGTGTTTCATTTGCAACCAATTATGCTCGGGATTAGATTCCACTGCTGCCTCGCTTAGCAGTACAGTACCTTGATTTCAAACAACCTGATATAGGTTTGTTGGGTGTTTTTTTTCCCCCTCTCCTCTCCTCTCCTCTCTCTTTTTCTCCCCTTTTCCTGCCCCTCAGAACCATCTCTGCCTTCATCAAAACAATTCCATTTGTACTTATGAAAGCATTACAGCCGGTAAGCAGAGAGTACAGAATAAGCTTAACCATTGTAGCCTTTTTCCCATCTGAGTATCACGAATCTTGTATCTCACCATGGTGTAAGGTCTCTGATTACATCAACCTCTCCAAATTATGCTGAAATGGAGGCCATTCAATTTGCTACAATCAGTAACTTTCGAAAGAGCCCTGCATAATTGATTTCACAGTAATATAGGCATAGGTGAATGAGTTCCTCAGCCTCGTTTATACAATGTTTTCTTTCATTCCAAAGTGCACTATTCAATAGAAATCACATTTTTTTCCCCAACAGTTGGCAGGTAAAGCTTTTGGCATACACAAAGTTGTGAGAGAGAAAGAGAGAGCAGGGGGAAAAAAATAGTATAGAAACATGAAAATTGAAATTAATGCCCCAGGTGAAGTACTAAATGCAGACAAGCCTTGGGTGAAATGACTACTCTTTTCTACGTGTCTGATCAAGGTGGGAAATGAAGAACTCGTACAGGATTCAAAAACCTTTGGAAATTTAAATGCAGTCCAGAAGTGTAGTTTGTCAATAGTGGTGGAGAGGGTGGTGTGTACAGGACTCCAAAGCTGAAGATTTGTTCAAGGTTGAAAATATCTGGGTTTATGAGAAAGAGACTATGACTGCCTTGTTGGTGTTGGAGTTAGGGAAACAATGTTGGAAGCTGGGTAAATACTGTAGCCGTGAACAATTAAAAGGGGCAATTGCCTTTTCACCAGCACATGGTACCATCTCTGTCATCTTCTCTCCCTGCATGAAACCAGTCACACTGGCTGTTGCTCAGTGGATCACCTTCCTTAGCTCCAAAGATCTTACTTTATAGACCTGCAGTGGAAACTTCATGAATGATGCATCACAGTGCGTGTGGTCTTCCATGAGTGCTTCCTACTGGGAAAGAAAGAAGGACAACGGCAAAGAACAAATAAATAAATAAATAAACAAATACATAAATAAGTGGTTGGATGGATGGAAAAAGAAACAAATAAGCACGGGTAGCAAATGTGAGGCATTAAAGTATTGTGACATGGTCAAGAGTTTAAGCTACTGAAAAGAAAAAAAGATGCTGTTGAACATTTGCAATATAAAGAAAAGGTAGGAAAATTAGACAGGAGTATGAAATTTTTTTTAAAAAAAATGGGTCATTAAGTTGAGGGGAAAAAAAGGAGAACACCTCCAAAAGCAATCAGTCCTATCTACTACAGAGCTCATTTCAGACAGAGAAAGTTACTATTTTGAGGTGTTTGCCACTCTACACAGATTCCAGAAGAAACCTAACCATGTCAGACACGAGTTTTGTATATCTGAATTTAAGCAAGTTTTCACAAGGTTTCATCACAAGGTTGATGTGCATTATTCAGAAGGAAATGTAGAATTGGTAATACCAAAGACAAACCAATGGATTAGATTGCCTTTCACCTGCATCTGTTTTATTCTTGTTCTCCCAGTGTTCAGAGATCAGCTGTAGGATGTATTGTTCTCATGAGAAGAATCTGTGTAACCGGATATAGCTTTGTGTGTGTGCAGATGTGTGTATGTACAAATTCCCTGCAAAGCCAAAAAGTTGATTTTGAGAAGTCCCTGTTTAGGAAGAATGCAGCTGCCCCTGTATATTAGTACTCTCTTTTCTGAAGAGTTGGAGAGTTTGTGTGTTTTGTGCCACAGTTTGATTATAAAATACTGCAGAAACATGTTCATTCTATTCAAATCTAAGAAGCACTAAAGTTTATGCTGCTTAAATCACTTTTAAATCTGAACTATTTGGATCTCTGAATTTTATGATAATATTAACAGAGCTTCTGGTGAAGCCCATTAATTTTTTTTTGTATTGTTTAATTTTACATGAGTAAATATAATTACTCCTTTTGTCAGAAGTTCTAATACCAATTTATAATTCATGGAGTTAATTATGTTAACGAGGAGGTAATCATTTCTCAACTCTCTCCCCTGTAATTTTAAAGGATTTTGATTTTTTTCCCTCTCTCTCTCATTCTCACCTCTCCTTTTACAATTTCTCTTCCAGCCGTGAAGTGGGAGCATACACAATTCATCTGTGATATAATTATTTACCATGGCAACAGTTTGTGAATGGGATTGTGAAGTTGCGAATAACTAAAAAGAAGCTTAAGTAGAACAGACTGAAAAAATTATCCTTTTCAAAACAAGTGAAGAGTCCTTTGAGGTCAGAAAAGCTTTTGTCACTCCAATATGTTAAAACAGGAGGAGTTGAAAAGGATAGTTTTGGGGCTTATTTTTACTCCTTTTTGATGAAACCGTTGCTAAAATCTGATGAGCAAATGAAGATAAGTACTTTGAATGTGTTTGTGTATGTGCAAATTTTGTTTTGGGGTGTGTACCTGTGACTGACAATAAAGAACATTTGAACAGACTTGAAATGACAAGCACTGAATCTGACATTGCCCAGCAAGAATGAGAAAAGCTTTGGGAGATCAAATATTGAAAAATGATGGAAAAAGAAGGGCCATAGTTGTGGTGGCTGATTTTTCTTGTTATAATCCTGAGATAAGCAGATGGCTCAAATTGACACGGGTATGCAAGACCTCTAAATTTTAGAGTCAGAGGCAGATAGAGAAAATCTATTGAAAACTAGTGGTATAATCTTTGTATTTTGCTGGAGGCTGCTACTGACAAATCTTTCCCTACAACGCATCCCATTCAATCATGTATTGAGTATTTTAGCACTGCTGCTCCAGAATCAAAGAAATCTATTGATGTTCTTCAAAGGCACACCGAGCTGCATATGAAAAGAACACCAATAACAACAAAAACTCATCCAGATGCACCATGTTTTACAGTTTATCCACCTGGGAGATAAGTTAGGTGCCATATTTACCCTAACTCACACACATAACGATTTACGAATCAAAATATTTCAGAGGAATAGATAAAAAGCCATCGATACATTTCATTGAATGTTAATTAATCCAGGAACACTTTGAAAAGTCTCCTGCCCGGTTGGTGGCATGAAGGAGGATTTTGTAAGATGTCTGTCCAGCTTCCTTTAAAAGTCAGTCTGGATATGCCTCTACCCTGGCGAAATGTCCCACTTTAAGTGGCAGATAAGCTGAGCTTATAAGAGGTCTTTTCGCTGACACCAGTGGAGTCATGGTCACAGTCAGTGAATGAATATGGAAAGCAGTTGCATAGAAAAACATTGATTTGCCCTGGTAATCATGAAAGATGATTTATTTATTTTTTTTTTAATGCCAAGTAAGTATGTTATCTTAAAAAATACTCATAAAAAGACCCTTGCAGAACCTTCTCAAGTTGCAGAATAGAAGAAAAGGAAAAAGCACATTGGTTCCAACTGCCCTGTCTACTCTGAAAACATCTGGAAACAATCCTGAACAACCTCAAGCAGATGAAAAACATATCTTCCCCTGGTGATGGAGCATGTGATGCTTGGTTTCCTACAGTTTTGTGGCATGCTGTTGGGCTTCCTGACAAGAGATGAGCTCCGACTGAAGATTTTCCTGAACATAGGGCATTAATATAATTTGGATTGATTTTCTCATGTCTCATAAGAGGTGAGTACATGGCTGCTTCTCCATCAAAGGGGTAAAAAATGCATTCTCCCTTTATTATCCAACTATTTGATAAAAGCTGAATATTTTGTCATCACTACAGGAGGTAGTTCAAAAGAGGTTATAAAGAGGTGGATGAGTAGACAGATATGTATTTATAAAAAAATATTACCACTTAACCTTGCTGAAATTTTTGGGTTTGCGTGGTTTTTTGTGTTTTTGGTTTTTTGTGGTTTTGTTTGGTTTTTTTTTTCCCCCCTACCATCAGAATTCCTTTTTTCTCTTAATGTGTCCCCCAAATCTTACATACAGTCCAGGATTTGTTTAATCTGTATCAGTGACAAATTCATGGACCTGTGTTTCCTCCTTCATGGATTGGAATGGCAGTAATTATACAGTGAAAGAGGCAGTTTTCCAGCTTCCAGAAAGTAGGGCTTGACAGTCAGATTTACAGCTGCATTTAGGCTCCAAAGGTGCAGGGAGGCACCTAATAGGATTTGCAAAAATACATTACCACTTTTGGAGAGAAAATGGAATTAGGAACCTGACTCTTCTAACTGCATTTCTAGATCAACTTCAGGTGCTTATTTTCATGTTTTGATACATTTTTAAAAGCTACCTTCTATTTCTGTCAGTGAAATAGTCTCGTATTTCAAGCAATAATTCTGAGCATGATGGACTACATTTTGTCTGTGTGTGTGCAAGAAGTACCTTTTGCATGAAACCAAAAGGTATATGTATACTGTTGGGCATATAAACTTATAAGCAAGTCCTGATATTCACTTACAGAACAGACACTAAAGAAACAAGAAATCAGTTACTGCTTAGGAGTTTTCAGGAAAAAAAAAAAAAAAAGCCTGGTAAGGCTGAGGAAAGTGTCCTGCTAACATATTGCTTCATACCTCAGATTATGTTGATTTTGGGTTCTGTGAGTGGGAAAAGTATCTTCATTATAAAAGAGGAATGTCCACATATGTTCACGAGCCTTGCAGACTCAGCATCAAAAAAAAAATTAGAAATTTTACATGACTTTCAGCAGTTTGCTGTAAAACTATCCACAGGAAGAACTGACAGCACAGTTCCAGCTGAGGAAAAGAGGTACAGCATTTAAATGTCATTATCAATTACTTATTTGTTTGCTGTATGTATATGAGAGAAAAAAAAAGAATAGCCCTCTACTGACACAGCAATGAAAACCTGCCTTTGGAAGGCCACCTCACTGGCATTTTCAAAAACAAAAATGGAAAAACATTTGTCCATGTCTTGGGATTCCTTTCCAGTGGCCAGAATATCAGACACGTTTTTTTCACTTGAAGAGTGTTTTTTTCATTTCAGTTCCTGAAACACATCAGATTTATGTTGCAAAGCGATGCAGATTTTAGGATGGGAAGAAAAGGGGAGGTTGGTTCTTTATTTTGAAGTCAAAAAGAAAAGTAATAAGAAAGCAAATTACTTCAAGGGCATAAGACACAAGGGAATGTCTTGAGAACTATTTATGTGACATGTGTTGCTTGTTTCATTATGGCAAGACAACTGAAATTCTGAGCTTCATCTTTTGTTCATGGAAGAAGAAAAGAAGGAGATTTTGGTGCTCATGATGTTTAAGAGGTACAACCTTAATGAGCCTTCACACCAATTTGAGTTTCTTTATTTTTCTTTCTTGTGATTCTTAGAAGTATTGGGGCTGAGAGAAAAGTTTTCCAATATTCCTTCTTCTTAATTTGTTTGAAAATTCCATGTATTTGGGCTAATGCTTTTACAAGCATTTTAGGGGTATTTTACACTAAAGTAGATTTCTTTGCATGGTGGCCTTCTTTATAGAGTCATTTGTCCTCCCTTTATTTCTCATTTAACTCACATGAGTGTTATAAAGAGATCAAACCTACCTCTATGGATGTCTCTGGGTCTTTAGTCTACTCTTTAAGATCATAATTTCCTGCTCTTCAGTGTATGTTGCCCATCATTGCAAGCTTCAAAACATACCCCAATGGAGTGTTGCCTTTACTAGTGCATTTGGAAAGCTCTAGTCAAGAAAGAACATTCATTATCTACCACTTAAACAAACATGGGTTTCATTTTCATAGGTGGTAAGTTCCAGATACTAATGCTAGGTCAAATACAGTATGAGAAGCAATAAGAAAATTCATCAGTTTCTACCATCCTTTCTAACTCATTTTAAGATTCAGATACTCAGGTCCTTAATCATTTGAACAGTCTTCAGTTGTGATGAAGAAAATCTAATGGATATCTCCTAAGCTGTCCCAGTAATTATCACAAGTGGCTTGGGCCAAAAGTCTTCCTTTTTGAAACCATGTAAAGATGTTGTGGCACCTGAAGAGTTAGTCAGGTATGCCTTCCTTGTGAAAAATTTTATTTTATACCATATAAGTATAGTACATATAGAGAGAGAGATTCAGAACCCATCACCGAATGGTAATATCCTGAAATGCAATAACACACCAGGTCTTAAAGTAAAGTTTAAATCCATTTCTTTGCTTTGGTTGTTTGCGTAAGTGAATATGACCTTCCCTTCCTTCTGTCTAAAATCTTCCTGTTACTTGTGTTGTTATAGATTGTGGCATCTGTATAGCATTTTCCTCTTCCTTATATCATGGCAACAAGCAAGTTAACAATCGATGG